ACTCCATCAAGTTTTTTTGACATTGTCTCAACCATGTAACAGAAAAAATTGGTTTTTGTATCAGTGATGGTATATTCATAATGCTAATCATTCGTTTTTTGTTCGAAATCTGTCTCTTATGAATAAATAGGTTTGTTTGCTGAGGTTGTTCTTAGAATATTTTAATCATAGATGCATCTTTTATCGCATGATCTTAAGAAAGACCTCAACAAATGTCTTCATTTATAATAGACAGAATCTCAACAAAAAAGAATGATCAGCATCAAGTATGCACTATAATTGATACAAAAATCAAAGTTTTTTGATATGATTGAGATTGTATCAAAAAATATTTATGGAGTATCCTACACAACTGGGCACTCTCAATGAATGATGAAAAATTAAATCGTTCTCAAACTCATGTTTTTTATTCAAACTATTGAAACCGCTAACATGGGAACTCTAAAATCAATATACTACTGTTTTTAACCGCATATCATGAATCGTATTTTAGAATTCGATATACATCGATATATAATTAAAAAGAATTTTTCATACACTGTACTCCATTATTATTTAAATTTAAAAATAAAGCTTTAAAAAAATACTATGAAAGAACAAAAGTAAATATGGTTACAACAGTGCGACGATTAAAAAATATCCGTCGAATAGCCTATAACATTGCACATATAAACTGGACTTAATTACACAAGTGTAGTATTCATCAAGATCGGTTCAATGATTAATTTATTAAAACTCAACATTTTAAAAATCGCCTATATCATATGCGAAACTATTAGTAATGAAACAACATGAATATTCATAGAATAATGACCTTGATTATCGTATACGTCATTCGTTGGCGTAAGAAACATTATGCTTTCTTTTAGTGAATTTGTACGCATAGTAAAAACTAAGAAGAATAATATCTATCTACCAAGGCATTTGTTGAAGTTTTCATTAATCATAATATTGGATTATCATTGAGAGGTGTATGTTTGCTTTCTGTATTAAGGAAACATATCAATTATTATCAAAGCATAATAAATACTTCTTATGAAGCACTTCCTTGAAAACTTACAAAGGAGCAGTAGGTGCATTTTTCATATTGAATTAAAAAAAAATGACCTCTACCCGACGCATAGTAGCAATTTTTTGTGGTTGCTTTCTAATGGTAGCTTTCATATTGTATATTGTCAGCAATGCCTTACCAGAATGGTATGTGATGCACTTTTCTTTTCTCTTTCAAATAAAATTTTATGTACAATAAAAACTTAGTATATAAATTTGTTCTTGGAGTTTACATAAGAGTGAAAAATTATTCGATATTAGTCACAAAATTTCAAGTATAAAAATCTATAAAGTATATCAAAGAGAAAACTAAATAAAACTGTTTTTTCTCTGTGATAAAGATAATACGTTCTGTACAATCATAGCAAGTTTCTTGTTAACTAGAGAACGATTAGTTAGTTACATTCACATTTATGCTTATCAGTCTTTGATAATTGGTCGAGAAATGAGATAATGAACGCGAATAATTAAAGCATTATATGGTCATATCTTTGATGATACACGCCGCTACTATAATTTGTAAGTTCTTTGAAAGTAAACCGATACTTGTGTGATTGATCTATATATGTTATACTAAAATGTTTAAATAGAGTACATTATTTTCATGTTAGGTATCATTTATTCTATAAATTACATTTATATTAATATTTCAGTAGCATTATATCTTGTATATTAACGATCGAATAATCTATTTAATTATTATGATTTTAGAGGATAAAAAAGAATATTCAATAGATTTCATAGTTCTCATTTTAAAATAATAGTGAAAACAAAAATTAATTTTTATATAAACTATTTAAAATTTTCTTAAAAAACGAAACCAATCTCTGTACATTTTCATTATAAGATGTTTTCATTTTAGTATCGTCTTTTATTCTTTTGAAGTCTTATACAAAAACAAAGAAAGATGCTTGTTACTATCTAAGTATATTTTAGGAGATCCAGTATGAATTCATTAATACCATTTAATGTTGGCCTATGGCGTGCATGCAGAACAATTGGTAGAAGAATCCTATGCAGTGACATACCATCAGTTTGCCAACAATATACAGGTGCAGATTCTCAAACATGTAACAAAATGATGGCAGCTCGAGCGTTTATAACGATTGCCTGTATTCTCTCAGGATTATTGTATGTCTTTTTATGTGTGCTGTGATAAAAACAGATTCAAATCATGCGATCTTTATGATCAGCAAAATTCTTACATTTGTATCTTTTATCGCTGGTATTGTTGGATTAGCTGTGGGTATTGCTTTTGTTACTTCATCGGATGATAGGAAGTTAAGTAGTGTGGCATTCGTGGGAATCGCTGCAGTGGTTGTCAATATGATTGGTACTATTTTAGCCTTAATGGTACGATGAATAATTTGTCTTAGTTTGAAAACATTTGACTATTGATTGTAATTGTACTTATTTTCGCAAACAACTCATATTAGTAAAATAAATACAAAAAACTCTGTTTATTTTGTCCAGTTCATGTGTGTGAACAAGACGAATTCGATAATAAACAAGCCTATTTGAGATATCAAATATAGTTGGAGAATAGTCTATGCTATTCTATGAGTCATGACGTATACATATAACAGTGCTATCATCGGTGCCAGAAGCCAAAACGTTCGCATGTTTTTTTTTAAATAACTCATGCATAATGTAATACAATAACATACGGTTTTTCAGCAACCAACACTCAAAACTCTAGAGCTTCTTTTCATAAGCGAATCCTTTTCTTCGAAAAAATTCCGAAGTTCGGTTTTTCATTCAATCTCTTGGAAGCAAAACAATTTTTGATTATTTTCATGAAAAATTGAAAACTTTATAATAATACCGAATGAATCCTAACTGCTTCAAAAAAATCAAAATATATTCTATTTTATATGCAGTATACTGTCAAGCTCAAGAAAACCTTGAAAAATCACTAAAAAACACATTAGTTTTTGAACAGATTTCTAGAAAGTTCGTTCATCCAAAGGATTAATTTTATCTGGTGTAAGCATAGAACTATCTCAAGCACATGAGACAACGTGTCTTTTGACACTTTGAAGCAGTTCGAATCCATTGGATAGAATTATAAAGAATTTCAAGTTTTTATGAAAATAAACATAAATTATTTTGCTGACCCCCGGTAAGGTTTCATATGATTCTTGCATTTCTTTTCTGACAGCTGACGTAGTTCTAAGACTCAGTCTAATCGATAATTTGTTTTTTGATGCCTTTTTGAAGGCACTTGATTGGACAATATGCAAATCTTCGGTCTTTTAAAAAACCATTCGAAACCCTAGATCTGAATAAAAAAAAACGAACTTTGGATTACGTCTAATCATCTGGAGGACAATTACGATTATATACGTACAGTAAAGTACCAATAGATTACTGAGTCAGTTTTCAAGAATTTAACATAGTTTTTGCAAAGAGATCCAATAAAAAATCGATCCTCAGAATTTTTTCGAAAAAAGGCTTTGCTGATGAAAAGATGCTTTAGAGTTTTGACTACCAAATGTTGAAAAACCATAACTCGTTGTATTACATTTTGCATGAGCTATTTCGAAAAAACATTCAAACGCTTTGACATCTGGCGCCAATAGCAGTTCATTTTCGATACAGTTCTTATCCAGATTTAGTTTTGTATGGTGTGCTCTAATCACAACAAATACTGAATAGACAGTATTCAAAGTGAACAAGCATCGAATTAGCTATTGGTATATCTCACTCATGGAAAAAGTCTAGAATAGATAAGAATCGATAGGTAAATGAAATTATTTCAGCTTATGATAAGGAATAAATGCGGTAAATTTTCGTATCGAAATCGACTTGATAATGAATTAATTGTGATTTCATAAATTTTATATTGTTTGCTTTGAAAATACATTTCTTGTAACTCAGAGATTAACAAACATATTATAGAATCGTATTACTAAAGTCTTTTAAAAAGTTTTCTGCACTACATGAATTGTATTTTATCGTTTAATAAAATGTAAAATTTTAGAGGCATCGATCACTTTTCTCTTATTTATCAATCATTTTCGTACTTAAAAACATTATTGTCTAAGTGATACAAATACATAACAAAAAATTTAAAAAACATCTGTTTTCATTGAATGATGATTTAAGATATTTTTTGCTTCTCTTTGTCCTGTAGCAAATGCAGTATGAACAGATGCTCCATCACTAGTGTGTTCACCAGCCCGAAATAATCGATTTTCAGCACACTTCTTAGCAAGTAAGTTCATTGTCTCTAGATTTGAATTAAGTTTAAAATACGAGTAAGATCCTCGAGCGAATTCATATTGTGTCCATCTTGAAATGATATAATGTTCTAATTTATAAATTGTGCTCGAGGAAAACTCGCTTAAGACTTTTTATCACTTGTGTTATAATTCTTTCATCTTTTTCATTATCCATTGCGTGAGCTTGTCGTCCACCAATCATAAATGATAGTGTACGTTTTATCGGATTACATAAAACAAATGGAAATGGAGCATCGACTAGGTACAATATAGTCAATTTCTCATCCCAAAAAGTCGTATCAAACTGCATAATGATTTTGCCCGTATGTCCAAATGCTAATTGATCAATGGCATCTAATTTCCATTGTGGTAAAGTAGGTTGAAAGATAATTGTACGCTGTTTCAAACAACCCAGAGAAACCGTAATGATTACATATATTTTGCTAAAAGTTTTTGACCTTGAGAAGTCAAAATTTGAACAATATCAGAATAAGATAGTGTATCAATTTTAGTTACTACAGTATTGAATATAACAGATAGTCGGTAATGGTTAGTAAGACATTCACGAAACTAACCATAACCACGTTTCACAACAAGATTATTCTCACATTCGCCTTCTATCAACCAATTAGACTTATTCAAATATTGCTTAACTGAAAGTTGATCAAGATCTGCTGCATAAATTTCTTCTATAGTTACAATTATTGTTTTAACAAGACGCTTGTGTTAACTGTCTTCTAATCTATTAAATTCTTGTTCGATTGTGTCATATATTGAAATATCTTTATCTTTATCATTAGATATATATTGTGAAAATAATCGATTAATTGTTTTTTGTGCTTGAGTACAAATTTGTTGAGCAATATTCGAACCATCTGAATAATAACCAACACTTGTTGTTGGATCAAATAATTGAATATAATAATCGTTATCTAATTCTGTTTTAAGTTGTTCATGAAACGAATTAAGAGCATTATCAGGGCCATATTGATGTGTCCACTCAGCTCCAACACCAAACGAAGATTTCAATGAATGTTGATTGGTATAAGCACGACCTTCAACTCAATCACGTGCTTCTAAAATCATGAAAGTCAAATTTGATTGTGAAAGTAATTCAATTGCTGCTCCAATGCCGAATGAACCACATCCAATGATAACAACATCATAAGTTTTATTTTCCATATTTTATTCTATTCTAAGAGATGAAAACATAAATAAAACCTGTCTTTATTGTTGGAAGAAGCAATCCTATTCATATCCTGTAGATGTGAAACAATTTATGTTACAAAAGAAACTTGAGATTAGCTGCATACACTTTGCATCTTTCCATTGAAACGAAAGATACAGCCTCTTGATATTAGAGAGAGAGCGTTAAATAGCAATACTTGTATGGATATACTCGTATAAATTCACGTTCGAAGTAAGAAAATAATGCATGAACTGTTCGATCATTCTGATTTCGGTATGATACGATTGACATCATACTATAAATCATAAGATATAACAGATGAAATACATATCTATGATGTGATGTGCAGTCTTCTATTAAACTATATCACGAATCGAATAAAGTTAGACTTATTTATATTCAAATGGAAAAGATAATAAATAACATCATTTCTTTATTGTTGCAAAAATTAGAAAATTAAACAAATGCTATATTGTGTTTTAAACCGGTGTTTTTTAAATAAAGACATATATTTGAATACTACGGGATAAGATTTCTTTCATTTTGTATAAATTATTCATAATTATGTTTCCAAACACAATACTTCATCATATTCTCACTTGTTAAAACTATGGTTTCATTTGAAGTTTTAATCAAATTTTCATAGTTTTTTTTAGCGAAAAAAAGAAAATAAAAAAATATCTATCCAGAATTTATTACAAAAGATTAACATGTATATATTATTCTTCGTTCTTAGCGTTTATTATCCTTGACTTCAAAGTTCATTTCAATATTTTCAATCAAATAAAAAGATTTGATCAAAAAAACAAAATATTTAAATACAATTATAATATTTTCGAATTTCTTCTATGTCAGTTGCACTTAATGAATTTCGTTGTCCTATCCATACATTTGGATCTTTTGTAATAATAGTTGGTAGTCCATTCATTGAAAAAGCAGTTTTTGAATAATGCATCACCGAATTATAATCATATGGAAGATTTAATGTATCTGTTATTTCAAATGAATATTTATTAAAATTATGTTCTTTGCCTATGTCAGGAAAAAAAACAGAAATTAACTATATGTATCATTGATTAAAACAATTTTCTAACCTGGTTGTACATTATTAAAATCAATAGTTACATAATTATCTCGATCTGGACGTGATTGTTCATGCCAAAAACCAAGAGCTATATAACAGAGAAAAATATTTAATAAGACAAGAATGAATGTTTTTTTTTACCATGTATAAATTCATGCATGACAGTTGCTTCACGATCAACACAATATGATTTCATCTGTAATGTAACTTTTTGACCACCTTCAGAAATACGTCCAATCTCCAACAAAATTATTAATATTCTGTCAGTGATAGATGATTACTTACATATGAACTACATCCACTACCATTTTTGATTGATATAAAATATTTATCATCAGCAGTTTTAGGTCGAAATCGAATACAATATGAAGCAGAAGTTGGATCTAATGAAACAATTCTTTCCAAACGACGCATTGCTGATATAATCTTAGCACGATCATATGCATCTTGTTTTATTGCAAAAAGTAATCTGATAGTAAGTATTCGTTTTTTGAAAAATATAGTCTTACCATATTCTGATGAAATTTCATATGGAACAATACCATTTGGCCAACGAGCAGATGTATTTCGTTTACCTATACCTCGAGAGATTGTCATAGATGTTAATAAAATATCACCTTCAAAGTCTCCACCTAAAAAATAAACAAATGATTAAAATTCTATTTTTATGTTTATTTACCTATTTCTTCAGGATCCTGAATATTAGTATTTACCACGGATCGATATTTTGGATAACTACTTGTTAAACAAATAAATGTTAAAAATACGAATATGTTTCGTATTAACATCGCTCTTTTGTTTTTTTTTCTATTTGTGATTATTTATCATACACTTGTCTATTATTATAAAAATCAACATCTGTTGTCTTTCTCATGATCAAAACAAGGAAAAATAATCGAATTAATAAATTGTAATTCAATCATTTTGACGTAGCGACAATTGACTTCATGAGATAGTATTCGAAATTCAGAACATATAAAACTAAAAACATGACATATATATTGGAAAATGTTCTTTCCTACTAAAACCGATTCATTGACTACATCGACATTCATCACAAGTAGAACGAATATTATTCACGATTATTCGTTTGGACATTAATTGTAATATAGTACTATATAAATTCATTGATTATTTCTGATCATTTATTTTAGTGTAGTCATATTGGAATTTGCTTAAGTGTTGCTCTACTCTGTTATCTACTGTTTTTTTTCTTTTCTTTCTTTAATGTATCCATTTCTCGTTATTTTGAAAACATATGATCATATTTGAATAATTTACATGACTCACTGTTATGCGAACGTATGGTTCCATGAAATCAAAGGGTTTTCTAAGGGTGCCGGGATTTAGGGACAAGGGTTCAAAGACTTAGAAGACCAATTCAAATATTTTTGCTAAAAATGTTCAGATTTTGAGAATTGGCAAGTGAAAAAAAAAATAGAACACTGAAACTGCGTAGGGAAAAATGAAAATTTCTCAAGACTAGGGAGAGGGTCGATCTTCCGATCTATCGGTCGAAATGTCCCTGGTCATCCTTGGAACCAGAGTGGCTGATTTTCACCAGTCTTTTTAATCAATATTTAGGAGCACTGAAGCTACTCTTTATCGCTCGTTTTTATCGATTTTCTTGATCTTAATAGTCCAAGAAATCTGAGCACGAAAATTTCCAACTGACGAAATCCTAGTTGATATAAAAGTCCCAGCTCTAACTATTAAACTCACACTTTCTCATCATACGATATGAGCTTCAGATCATGATGAATGAGTTTTTTTTATGGTGATGAAAAATTAACAAGCATCAGACGTTAAATTTGATCGGAACCAGAGATGGACGAATTGCGTGCCACACTGCTCTTGTTCCGCTGCAGGCAGATGCTAAAATTGCGGAGACGGAATGGTGACGAGACACAGCGAGATTTGATGGCTTCCTCGCCTTCTGAGAAAACTGTTCTTTCGTTAAGAAAACAATAAAACCTATAACAATCATCATATTGGACCATGTAAACCGTCGAATTCCTCTTCGAATAGTTGTTTATAACCAGCGATGCATCCAAACTCAGCAACATGACATCAATTGTTGATCTTTTCTTCTTACAAAACATTATCGACTATGATAATTTCATGTGCTATCAATGTAGAAGGGTTCCATGTTGACAAGCAATTACAGAATGACTTAAAACATTATACAGTAGAGCTGGAAATTAGAAAAAATGAGGCAAACCCAGAATAATGAGAGTGTATTTTTGTAATCATCTATATGTCGAACTGAACAGTAAAATTCAACTTTACCTATTAGTATCTTATAGTAAATGTCCTCCCATTCAAATTCACATACACGTCAAAATTTCACTGCAATGCATCTCAATAATAATGAGAACTGTCGTGACCTAGTTAAAAACAGCTCCAATCGCTAAATGCATGCTCATTCTCTACAGAATGTATTTATCATGAATGCTCGACAAATTTTCAAAAAATTAGCCTTTCGAACTATTTTTTTTACAAGATGAGACAGAGCGATGGTAGGGCTTCTGCTGAAACAGGTGACATGGTAGCGTTGCAAAGCTTTAATGAATTGGTGGTGAAGAACCGATGGCGGGATGACTTCTCCGCTACCCGGTCTATCTTTGATCGAAATTAAAGAGTTTCATCTCGAAATTTCAAGCTCAATTTTGTGGACTACGTTTAACCAACGGTTTTTCTAAAACGTACGTTTGTCTTTTTGAATTGTTATTCAATTATTAAATTAAATTTTATATTGGTATATTTTCAAAGCTTTCTTTTTTCTACTAATGAGAAAATAAGTATGCGATTCCATCATGTTATTTTGATAAATATAGCCCGAGTCATTCGTTTTGTAGGCACGTAAAAGCCCAGGAAGGCGTTTCACGTAATAATATCTTCTTTGTAATTTCTTCGGAGAAAAAAATAGAAAGAAATATAATTTTTGAAACTCTAGACATTGTGAAATTTACGCGTTGTCCATGTGTGAATGGATACGAAAGACGCTAACTGACTGCATGAGTCAAACAAATAGAAATGAGAAGTTAGAAAAGAGTATCATTTTTCCTCTCTCTCCCTCTTCTATCCTTTGGATATAGTAAATTCTAGAACACGCATGTGAATCTACAAGCATTATTTTTTTAGATGTATTCTAAATTAATTGTATTGTCGATGATGAGAAAGTCAAATAGTAAGTCGAACATTTCAGGTCAATTTTTTTCCGTTGCTGTTCAATCAGGTGGATACAGACATTGGTAAAAATTTATAGTTGAGGTTGTAATGCCAAACTGAAGAAATAACTTCATCGTTACTCTGAGTAGTGATGTATATTGACTTACTTTATGTCTCGATAATGTGACTGTTGCATACACAATGCAAGTTTGTATAGGAGAGAGAAAGAGATAAATACAGGAATGATCTGCGATTGGACAGAAATAATGACGATCTGTTTAAATATACTCAAACTGAAAATGATTCGATGAAAAGTGTACTGAAAATCATATCAAGTTTTCTGATAATAATTATATTTGAATCGATCTATTATTTTAAGATTTTCTCGAAATATTTGAAAAACGAACACATTCTATTATATAATTTGGTTTGTGTATCAAGATTGGTTTTCGATCAAATATTGCGCCTCAGACTGCTAGTATCAGAAGAATAAATTTGTGTTTTGGTGAGAGTTTCACCGAACTCACGATTATCACACTCTTGATCATCAGTTTACGTACTAGGAGGAATAATGGAGAGAGAATAGCGAGTCAACGATAAAAGGAAAGAGAAAATGACAATATGAGTGGAAGATTCATATCTATAGTGGCACAAGAATCAGCAGCTCATTCATTCGAACAAACATTACCTTTAGTTGAAGTTAGTTAACAACGTGACATCCTGTACTTATATGCAAAATTCTAGGATTCTAAGCTTTCGATATTAATGATCGATTTTTTTCCATTGATAAAGAAAAATTTCAAAACATTTTTAATATTTTGAGAAAAATATTGTCAAGTATAAACCTCACACACACAATCAATGAAGAAGATGCAATTAATTTGATCTAAATAACATTATTATATTTCAAGCACGCAAAAGCTGTAAATCATTTTAATTATTCGCAATTGTTTATTACTATTTAATCATTTTGAAATTCATTTTCAGATAGAAGATGATCATCGTTTAGTATAATTACTAATTGAACTAACAAATTTGATTAACAATTTCAGTTCTATTGATGATTTAACTGATTGATTATGCGCATGAAGCTTCCGCTTAAATCTTATTAATTTTTGCATGCTATTTTTGAGAAAAGAAACACGCACATGCTATTCAAACAAATCTAAATGAACAACAAGTACAGTAAAATAAAACTTTGTTTTTATCTTCTTTTTATTGATAAATTGACAGATTGTTTTTCGTTGATTGATTAAAAGATTTTTTGTTGATAATAAAAAAATTTCTTCGGTGAACATGAAAGCTTTAGTGATGCAACAAACGACTTTTCGTTGATAATTATATTTTTTTGCTTTATAAAGAATTCAGACATGTCAGAGAAGGATTATTTATTGAAAATCCTAGAAAAAGTTTAGAAGCAATGAATCTCATTATGGGAAGAAAAAGACGAATGAGAGCGCAATACGTAGGATAGTTTTAGGATACATTTGAAACGATGAATCCATGGTCTGCATGATTATATATTTCATGGAAGCATCATAAGAGACTAGTGGCGTAGTCAACAGGTCACTAGAAAAGAATGAGTCCTCCGTCATACTAGAAATCTTCCTTCACTGACTAGTGTCCTTTCTTTTGCTCCTAGTGAAAAAATTCGGGCTATGTCACCATAAGAGACATGCTGAAGACAGTTATTAGTTGAATCAGACCCGCAGTACATATAGAGGTTTCTCGCCGCCGAGAGATGAAATTAAAAAAAGTATTGTGATCCGAGCTATTAATTTTCTTGATGGCATGTTTTCTTATCGTGTATGATTTACATAATTTCAATATAAATGAGCCTCAATCAGGTTTTTTTTTGAATTAAGATCGAAACTTGTTAGATATAGTAAAAGCAGGGTAACAAATTTATTCTATTTATATGTAAAAGCAGGAAAATAGTCACAAATAATAGACATCATAAAAGATCCTTAAAAATCTAATAGAATATAATAAGTAATAAAAGAACTAATTAGATATATATGCACGAAAAAACAAAGCAGACTTCATCTTTTTAATTCATTAAGGAAATGAAAAGAAAAGTTGCAGAAAACTGCGGAAGAAAGAATATGAAATCAGATTTTTCTAGTTTCGATCTACTTCTTTTTACATTAAAATATATCATTTTAAAGCTTTATAATATCTTTATCATGCTATTCAACGGTTACTGCGAATACAACAAGACTTTACGAGTATTTTACTCGCAAGCATGAGCTATAGAGCGAAGCTTCTCAAGAGTGCCAAGATTGATGGGAAAATATATAAGAAAATGCCTTACAGAAGTAATAAAAGCTGTGTGTCGTTTTACTCGGTGATAAAGAATAGTTTTCAATGACTAAATAAGAATTGGTACATTCTCTAACATGTGCTTTTGTGGCTCCTGTTTCCAATAATGAACACTTCGATAAAACAATAATTTTAGAATATTGTATCACTTGATCCGACCTAACCAAAGAATAATCTTTCAATTTAACAACTATTCTTTCATTTAGCTGGAGTAAACGATAATAGTTTTTTTTAGTCATTTTTCATTGTGTTTTTTTGCATAAATGACATAGTTTGCTTTAAACTCGATTAGATT